TTTGTTTGTTTGTTTGTTTGTGTATAAATGTGTGTGTATGTATATATATATATATATCACACATAAAGAACAGATTGGTACATGGAGATAGATACAGGCATGCATGCCTACGTACATACGGGCTTTAATGTGAGTTTACGTCTAGAGTCTTGGAATTCTTGGGTCGGGTTGGCTGTCGAGGTTGGGGGGGGGTCACAGGGGTCCGGGCTCACGGACGAACGTTCGGGTCTGGTTTGAGTATCATTGCCCAGTGCTCTACTTCCCAGGCGGTGTGCTGCAAAGTGTCACGGCACCGCAGAAATTGTATAGCAGCAGGTGGTGGTGTCTGCGGCGATTGCAGCCATCATGGACAGCTCTTCCCTGCGACTTAACGACTTCAGAAAGGTCGTCGGCCTGTGAATCAAGCACTCAATCAAGTGGTGGCATCCGACAGAAGCACAATTGTGTTGCCTGGCTGTCCTGCGCTCGTTGCGTGTGGAGCTGGAGAGGATGCGCTGCTTCGGCGCCCACTTACAGGCTCCATGCACGGCTCATTGGCTTCGCTGTGTGGGAGCTCAGCTTGTCGCCGTGTGCATCAACTAAAGAAGCCCGTGGCAGAGGATTCGCGACTGGGAGTGTGGAAGTGAAAGTTTCAGATTCAGGTCACTTGTAGCATGTATCACAAGGTAACATGACGGTAAGAATCGGTGGTCACATTTGCTGTTGGGCTGAGAGCAGTTTACAGAGTGGACACTGGGGCCTGGAGTGTTCAGCATTTTCAGTGCATTTTCCCAGAGAGACTTGGCAGCCGGCTGACCGAAGCGTCGGTTGCCGGGACATAAAGAGGAGCGAAATGGAGCACCCTGGGCGCAGACATTTTTAAGACCTCAACGTTCCAGGCCCTCAACGGATGTCCTCGGCAGGACGCATGCAGAGCCTTGCTTATGGTTTATGCTTGTCAAACTTGTCGAAACCAAAGCATCCCATCCTGCAGTCTGTCCCCACGTCGTAGCAAGAACCGATCCACTAGCTATGGTGGTTCTGGCTCATACTCGACTCAATACCCGGCCAATGGAGTCCTGTCACAGACCGATCGCGGCGGGTTGTTTGAGGCACTACGGTGGCCTTGCAGACGGACCCTCGCAGCCCTTCGGCACGTGTCTCAGGGCCTTGACATGCTTCAGCCCATGTCGGCTCGCTCTTTGGATGCAGGGAAGCGGCGCGTTTGATAGATCTTACTTGGAACATTCGGCGCCAGCCGCCAGTAAGATGAAAAGCCATGACATGGGTTCGATTTATGAGCTGCGCAGGAGCAACAGCCGAGGCAGAATCACTGCGCCGTCTCTGCTAGCTTGGGCTCGAGCCTCCAAAGGCAGCCGCATGCAACTTCGCGACTTCATGTATCCATGTGCGACTCCGGTGACCTCCAGTGCCCAGCAGCCCTCAACCATCTCTGCTACGAGTATGCAGCGTTCGGAGACATTGAGAAGGTCGAGATGGCGCCAGGACGACCTCCGAATCGGTACTTCTATGTCCGCACGAGACGTGAGTGCGAAGATCCGGGCAGGATGGCAACCGATGTTGTTTACCAGGACTATTTCGTTAGAAGTGGTGAGGACGATGCGGACCTCCGGCTGCGACACGAGTTGTTTCCCCGCGTGGCTGAGAGGCTTTCGGCTTACAATGACGATCTTCGCAGAGGGGCTGCCAACAGAGAGACGAATGGGCGTGTCGTATTCGTAGCTGTACCGGAGCCAGTTGCCCCTACTCGAACGGCACTGTTAGATTCAGACGATGCATCGGTCGGAGCGATTTTGGGGATGCCACGGGTGAAGTCGTCAAACGGGCTCAGCGTCTGGCGGCGACTGATGGGATTTGTGGACTACGACTGGGAGCACAAGCATGCCGACTGGATTCCAGGGACTTGTGCCGGCTGTGCAGCTTTCAGTGCGGCACTTCGAAGCTGCTCACGGCTTCTCAGCGACGATTCACCTGGTGTAGCTGGGGATGAAAGGGTAGAGGTGCCGGGCTGGGTGAGCCGTCACAAGAACCATTGGGATGAGGCGGACGATATTGATTACTTGGTTGACCACGTGCATCCAAAACTGTCGAAGTTCAGTCTGCTGCTGGAGACAGGACAGGGTGTAGCAGTCGCAGACAGAGCCTTGACACTGCTTGCAGAGCATCGCGAAGCGTACGCCTTACTACCCAAACAGCTGACTCATGGTGACATGGGCTTGGGTAACGTAATGATCTCTGTCTCGGATGCAGATAGCAAGCCTCGTAAAGCAACTGCTTGCATTATTGATTTCACTCCGTACGCAACAGAGTCGCACCTTTATGCCTTTACAGTTACGCTATATTGGACCTTCCTTTATGGTCCGCTGTGCAGTTGTATTGGAGAGTCGCCCAGCTTGGACGAAGCGCGAATGCGTTCATCTGTGGCCGCATATCTAAGCACAGCAGCTTCTTTTGATTTGCCGGATCTCCGACACATGTGGTACATCATGTTCGTCAAAGTGGCATGTCGCATGCTGTTTGTCCCTGTGCTGTGGGCAGAAGCCGATGTAGCATTTCCGTCATTCGTTTCTGCAGACGCCGTGGAAAAGTATGTACGGGTTCTGGACTGGGTGATGCGGAACCAAGCGCTGCTTGAGAACATCCTAGACGTCGACGTGAACGCTCTGTGAGCTCCAAATATTCCAACTTTGAAATTCACTTTGGCAATGCCTCGGTCATGTTCTGGTCCGCTGCATCCTACTGTCTTTACCTTCTTGGCCGCGTGTGACTGACGGCCATTGTAGCCAGGGACGTTCCAGGTGATCATCGAGGGTCCCTGCTCGCGGCCGACGCTTTGCAAGGGCTGCAGATCGAGAGCAGACAGGCTCGGTTCAGTGAGGCACGAGACCCCGTTTTCGAGACCCTGGCTGCAGAGACTCCGAAAGCTTTGAGAGCACCTCGAGAAGATGCAGTGTCGTCTGGGATTCTAGGAGTTGCCTTCCATGTGCCTCCTTCCAAGAATCGACATGAACCCTTCCTGTTAAGCGCTGGTTCAAGACCTTCAGATTCCGCACCTCATTTTCGGCCATCGTCGGCAGTTCCTGTGTGGCACGGCAGGTTTTTCAGTGTGGCAATAGACAATAGAGAGGCATTGGCGTAAGGCATGTCAAGACCAAGTCCCCTCAGCCTGCCTACCTAGAAAATTTGGCACAGCTTGAGTCTGCGAAATTCGTCCGAGCGGCCCAGAGCGAGGGCGAATGGCCAAGGACTGGACCGATTTCCTCGGCTGAGACTTTGATATCAGGGGTTTTGGGGGCCGGGGCTTCTAAGAGGAATGCTCCATCGACGAGGGAGCCTTTGGTGCCATCGTGGTGCCCGCTTCCTTGAGCCTCGACCGCAGGGTCGTAGCATTCGCTTGGAGCTTCGAAACTTGGGGCCCAGACGTGCTAGGCTTTCACGACGTGTTGAGCCGAGGCCTTCCTTGTGTTGGCTTGGTTAAGATAGGTCATGCCGGGTGACGTCGGGAACGTGTTGATATCAAGAGAAGACGGACCTTACGTGTGCGTTCAGCGGAAACGAGTGAACCTGCACGAGAGAAGGGGGGGAAGGCTTGGACTTCGGAGTCGCCGGTGCTGGATAAAGTGTGAGTAGGATTGCCTCCAACTCGCCCCGAACCACAGCTCAGGAGTTCCAGCCTCCGCGAGGAATCGTGGCTGACGGTTTATGGGTTTTGGATTGGCCGGGGCCACTGTTCAGCAAACAGGCTTGATGTGTTTGTGGGGATGTGACGTTCGAGGTCCGGCTCCACGAGCTAAAAGGGGCCTTTCTAGCTTCGCGTTATTACATAGCTTCGACAAGAGCCTTGAAGAAATGGTTCTGAATCTCAACGTCAGAGCCGTCCAAGAACATACCGAACTAGGTTCAAGAGGCATGCAGCTGGGCATGTCCCGATCCATGCCAGCGCAGAACATGATAACATGTCCTTGTGAATCAAGCTGGAAAGCTCTGTTATGGGCTATCGACCCTTCGTTAGCTTCGGCGCTTTGAACCTTCCACGGCGCTTCACCTTCAACGCTTGCCGTCACGGATGTGAGACATTTTATGCAGGCACTTGGGCGGTGGTGCCGCGAGCGACAGCCTCTGACACTATATGCTGCTTGCCCCTTCCGGCTTGGCTTGCTTTGCTTATCCGACTTTCCGGCAGCTTCCGGTCTTGGGGCGTGCTTTCATTCGAAAGCGGCTGCAGGTAGTGGTAGTAGTGGGGCATCCAAACTTGGGCACAGGGACATTCAAGGAGGCTCCCCGACGCGCCAGATTGTCCCGAGCCGGTCCCAGGAGCCGGAGCCCGCTCCTGAAGAGGCACACCATGCGCTCCACCTGAGCAAGGAGACCTGGGAGTTCTTGACAACCCACTCAAAATCTTGTTCGTGAGATTGAACAGAGTGCTGTTGTGGTGCGGGATTCGACCTTGGCATGTGCAGGCAATTGCCAGTAGTCTTCTGGTGGTCTTCTAATCTTCGCAGGGCGAGGTAGGTGAGCAGCTGATGGACCGATACAGGACGGAGCTGCCATTTTGAAGTCTCTCACTGCTCCGCTGGGACCCTTCGATGAAGCGGATTTGCGGCCTGGCTGTATGAGAACGACATGTTCATGCTGGTTGCCATGATGGTGTGCAGATGATGCCACAGCTAGCAAGCCAGTTGGAGGCGTGCTTACACATGCTTCCTCCTTCATTGCACAGCCATCCGCTTCCATCCGCCCACGCACCCCCGTGTGCAATGACACCAGAACTAGTCTGTTTCGGCAAATTAGTCGATGTCCATAACACTGGAACTTTCCTCGGTGTCGAGCTGCGCCATCCAGCATAGGCATAGATTCACCGCTTGCTTCAGACTCAGAGTGACAGAGCTCGGCTTGAGTCGAAGGCAGAAAAAAGTGAAGCCAGAAGAGCCTAGCAGGCTGGGCACTGCGGGTGTCCGGTTTCGAGGCACACTTGCTTGAGCACCTCCTGGGTGGAAGCGCAAGTGGATTCGGACGTTGTCGAGCTCTTGGAGGACGGCGGCTCTACGCATCTTCCATAGTACGCAGTAAGTCGATCGGACTCTCTTTCTGTGTTTGTCGTGTGGTTTGCAAGGGCTTTCACACTTCGAGAAGCATACAAGACGAGTAGGTTCCGAGCCCTGATCTCCGGAGGCGCTGCTTCGCGTCTGCACGGAGCTACAGCAGGACATGGCCTGGATTTCGCATCATGCCGGTTCTTGCGAGTGCAGCACTAGAATCCCTAGACGATCCAACCAACTCTGGGAAGTTCTCGCTCTTTCTCTGCTGTTGTCCAGCTTCCACACACAGCTCTTTGAGGAGCTGGGGTGCTGCCCGGTTCGGTGGCTGCCACATCTCCGCCCTAGCTCCCTGCCTTGCCCCTCAGCGGCATGGGCTTTAGGATTGCAGGCTGAAGACAGCTGGAGCCAGATCTCGGGGGAGGTTCATCATTGATTGGAACATGGACCCTTGGAGCAGTGAATTTATGACTGTAGAGTGCAAGCTGCACCCTTGCCAACCAGAGGTTGCAGGCGCTGGCGGGGAGCCAGTATCCAGGCCGGATTCAAAGCTTCTGACGTGTCAGCTTGGGTCGGGCTGACGATCTAGATGCAGGCTCTGTGGGGCCAAGCAGAAGTCGCAAACGCGTGCCGCGTGCCCTCAGCAGAAATTCCTTGTCGCGGCTGAGAGGCCTGGAGGCGACGTGCTGCCGCGTCGCCGCTCCCAAGGTCATCGTGTCGGGCTTCCAGATTCGCGAACTTTCGCTCGTCAAGCTGCGCGTCGCGCGACACAGTGCGCGACACCAGAGCCTTCGTCAGTCTTATTGTCGGGAGGTTCACCTTCTGTGAGCTGTTCGCGGGCATCGGTGGCTTTCGCCTGGGGCTCGAGGCCGGATCTTCGGTTTTTCTTCCAATTTGGGATTGGATCCCACTCAGGAAGCTCGTGCTCAGAACAATCTTTGCGTTGTAGCCGGGCTGGAACTATCGAAACTCGAGGAGTCTAAGTCTAGGTTGATGCAGAGGGCCTGTGTTTCAGGACACGGCGGCATGGCCGTGGTGTGATAGGAGTTGCACAGCTGTTCTGCAGATTCGCTCCGAACGTGTTCCCTGCCTTGGGGCCTGTTGGGGTTGGCGACAGTACTTGGGCGGCGCCATTTATAATATGAACATCTTGTGTGGCAGTGAAATCTGAAACGGACTCGCAGTCGTTGCTGCTGCACAGTCCCGGACATCATTGATTCATGGGTTGTGTTCATGCTATTTGGCGGAATTTATGTTTGTTATGCTAGGCGTTGTTGTTCCACTTGTCGGTTCGATGCTGTCTTCGGCAGGGGGCAGATCGAGAAAGACGGCCCTGATGATTCGCCTCCTTATACTGCGAAGCACAAGCCCGGAACAACAGCTGAATTGCTTTAGTTGGTGCCGCGTAGTTGCATTCACAGAGCATCTACAAGTGGCGTGGCATCAGATAGAGTGCAACTACCTGGCGTTTACTGACTGGGGCCGTGCAACTCGGGATCTTACAAGAGGGAATGTCTTGAAGACCCAAAAACCCGGTGGGAACACATCCGGAAGTGTGTTTCACGGAGTCCTGCATTTTCCCTCGAGGCCGTAGGTGGTCGCTGCGTCTTCGCTTCCGAGATCAAAACAGCGGCGCGGCGGACGTACATGTGACACGGCCGAAATTTCTTAAGTCATGTCTCGTGAACGCTGAAGGTGAAATTGACGGACCAAAGCATGAAATGTTCCCTGTAGGCGAAACTTTCCATCAGACGAGGGGGCGGCTCCGCTGAAGCCTTAGCTTCTTGTTTGAGTTGGTGCCAGTACTTTGCAGTACATGATGGTATTGCGCAATCTGTGAGGCCCCCGTGTGATAAATCACGTTACCAGTTTTCTCAAAACATTCCGGGTCTAACAGCCTCGGCTCTTTGTAGACATACTCTTGCACCGGGCTGGGCCTGACAGTTCAAGCCTCACATCCGATCGCCAGGAGAAGCGATAGTCACAGCTACTACTAGCGGCTTCTTTCCCTCAGGTTGGGGGACGTTCGTTCCATCTCTGCTGACGACTTGCCTGCCTTCGATCTCCTCGCCGCCGGCTTTCCTTGCCAGCACCTTGCCTTTGTCATAGGTGTTCGTGTTATTTGTAGAGGTCTACGGCTTCGAAATACATCATGCGGTTGCTCGGAGTCACCATTGTCTCAGCGTTTTCTTGGGAATGAGCACGTTGGCAAGGGGCGGTGTCAAGGAATGCCACCCGAATGCTTTAGCCAAGCGCATGTTGAGTTTCGGCGAATGCGTCATGCATGTCGAGGAGCTACACCTGCTACAACCCCGACTCTGCCGGGCTGGACTGTGCAAAAGGGGAGCTGGTGTGGGAAGTCCTTCGACTCTTGAACTTGAGCTGCAGCTAGTGACATGTCTTTCCGGGGGTCAGGGCCAACCCGCCAGTCCAGCGCAACAGCTTGTTTTGTTGGGAAGACTCTACTGGCGTGCAGGAGGCTTTGCGCAGGCATAGATCGGCGGTGCAAACGGTCCTCGCAAAAGAACCTGCCTTGTACTACGAACAGCTGCTTAGGAGATGCTGCCGACCGGCTGCCGTGTTGCTGGAAAACGTGCAGGGCTTGGTCAACCACAGGTCTGGAAACGCGACTTTGCCGAACCACTCAGGAAATTAATCCTTCTTTGCTCTACCATACGGACCATCCTGATCTCGCCAAAAAAATCCCTGCTTCCAAATGAGCAGCACAAGGATCTGGCGCAGATTGTGGCGCAGCTTCGTGGAGCAGGGTATGCCGTTGGCTGGCGCAGCCTCGATGCACGCAGATGTGTGCCCCAGAAGAGACTTCGTGTGTACATTGCCCCTCGGACTATTCGAGGGGAGGTTCAGAGCTTGCACCCGTAAAGGAGGGGGCGAGGGAGCCTTGTCTCTGGGGGATGTGTTTATTTGACTCTGCAAGGTCTGCATTCGCCAAGATCTGAAAGACTATTATGTGGCAAGACAGAGCTCGGTGCCTTCACCGGAAGATGCTGGAGTCGTTCGATTCGGCGGGGGCAGCATGGAGTCAAGGGCAACTCGTGGTAGCTAGTGGCCTGCGAGTGGCGCTCCTTGACCTGTCTCTGTGGGCACAGGCGGCGAGTCCAAGGCTTTGGGCGACTCGGTGCCTGGGTGTTGCAGAGTTGAAGCTTCTCTTGATGACGGGGCACGGGGTGTTGCAGAGCTGAAGGCTTTTAGGCCTAAGCTCCACCCCTCCCTGAGGTGATCGATTGGGCGAAGTTCGAAGCTGCTGCAGCAGAGCAAAAGCCGACGTGGGCCTCAGAAAGCCGAGTCGATATAAGCTAGATATAACAATGTATAATGCATAATGTGTAATACATATGGTGCATAATCGTAAATATATCATATATACTATATACTTCACAGTCTATCGCATGTTTGTAGCTGTTGAGTAAGGTTTCGGATCCGGGCCTTGGAGGCATCCCGTCCGTGGGGCTCTGGGAATTTCAAGGGCTGGCGCTTGGATGTTCCGCATTCCTGCAACTGCTGATCACTGCGACATTCGGCCCTACATGATCTGGCCTCAGGAAGACGTTCCACGAAGTTCTGCAACCGCAAGCCAGCGCAGACACCTTCCTGAACCTGGGCTTAGCCATACAAGTTAGAGGCGGTCATGGTGTCGGAGTTTCGGAATTCGCGCAACAGTCCTTTCTGTTTTGTTTTGTCCAACTTAGTGCTTCGGGCAGGCTTGGTGAGCTGAAATCATTCTTGCGTGCATTTTGGCATGTGTGCGTGCGTGTGTGTGTGTGTGTCTGTGTGTCTGTGTGTCTGTGTGTCTGTGTGTGTGTGTGTGTGTGAAAGTAGGCTGCGCCACTTGAGCGCACTTGTCTATGTACCCCTGCTGGCCAAAACAGCGAGCACTCTCCAGAAAATCACCTGTGTGACAGGAATTATTTTCGCCCCACCCTTCCCTCCTAATACAGGGCTCTGCCCTCCTTAGAAAGTCCAGCACCTGTGATTGCGCCGGTGTACTCGTCCGAGAGCTCCCTAGTTGCGGGGTGGCATAGTTGATGCCGGGAGAATACATCATGGAGCTCCCTCATTTTTAGGGTTCACAGATGAGTTTAAACGCGAGTTCCCGGTAAGCAGGATCCGTGAGTAGCCGATCATAAGCTTGTAGCTGCCCAGCCGGGGGTCTCTAAGTTAGAGTTACCCCTGAACCAGCTGTAGCTGGCCAGCCGAAGCTGCGTACAGCAGTGACGGGCCTAGGGTGCCGAGGTTACCAATGCACCATGGACCAATCCATGGAAACGAAAAAGAAACAGAGTGCACTTCATGAGTGAAACAAAAAATTTGCAGGAACAAGGTCTGCACGCAGCTGGCGACAGCCCGTGAAGGACATCGAACACCAGAGTAAGTCAGCGTCTGCGAGTGACGACTCATGTTAGCTGAGGACGGCAGCGCAGTGGGACAAGGCTGCAGCACGCTCCGACACTGTCACGTAGTGCTCGAGCGCACTACACGTGCGTGAAATTTGGGTGGTTTTGCCACCCCGCGGTTTTGCCCGGCTTTGCTTGTTCTGATGGAGTGGCAAAACCTGCTGTAGACTGTAGAGTCTGTGCCGGGAGTAGGCGCACAGTGAGAATATCATGCAACTGTTGATGGCAGCTCGTTTTCGTCGTCCAGGTCGTGGAAGAAGAGGGGAGTGAGGAGCTCGCACGTCGCAAGCCACTCGACCGCCTCCTCCTGCACTCCCGAAGTCTGAAATCGGCTTGGCAAGCCATGCTGCTGCGCATATGTATCTGACTACGTTTGCGCTTGCCAAGATTCTTGCACTAGTCGCAAAGCACACCCCTTCCAAGGCGGTTGCTCACATCGGATGCAGACTGGGCAGGGGCCCTTCGTTCAACCTACCGCTGTGACTGGCGGCGGGCCTCACAGTTCGTGGTGGCTTGGCTTCAAGGTTGAGCCTTCCGACCACTCGTGCGGTTGTGGCCTTGTGTCCTCGACGTTTTGCTACGGCTGCAACGGGTTCTGGGACTTTTAACCTCCCAACAGAATCCGAGCCGCTGCTCGGTAAAGCCGAGTGCACAGAACACTTTGTGCCCATTTCGCAACTGTCGGTGAGAGTGAGGGTTTTGAGATCCGACCAGCCCGGTGCAAGCGCCCTCGGGGCTCGGACAAGCGATGCGTTCCACGGGTAAGGAAGTGTTCACCGTCTCGCGGAGGGTTGACAAGCTTGGGCCTGACCTTTCACAAAACGACAGCGCTGGCTTTTGCCATTCTTGCGAGCGACCCACGCGTCGAACACAACGACAAAACTGAGGGATTGGATTCTGCCAACCGCAACATGTGCTGCTGCGTGCTACATGCACCGTGGGAGGGATGGACCTGCAAACGCAAAGCAAAATGCTACTCTCCCAGCCCTCGAAGATCGTTGATGCAACATGTCCTCAACTATGTCATTCGACAGATCCTGCTTAGCATGCTTGCTCCCCCTGCACCAATATAAATCGCGCATCCAACCTGCAGGCGATGCGGCAAGCTACGATGTTCTATGATTCCATATACACGTACCTTGCGGTAACGGCACCTCCCTCAAACGACCTTCTGCATACCAGATACTGAACAACATGGCTTCCGTAATGAGTCATGTGGATCACATGCGCAGGGCTCAATTCCCTCGGTAGTCTGCCTCCTACACTTCATCCTCACTTTTTTCATCCTCACTTTTGTAGCTTAGACAAGTCCCCCAGAGGCCTCGGAGACCTTGCCCCGCTTCTTCACCACGAGAGAGTGTGCACGACTGCAGCCTGGCAGGAAATGCTCAGTAGCATGTTGAGCTTTTGAGTTTGTCAATTTGCCTCCTACGGATCCCTCCAAGTGCTCCTCCCATTCCTCAACTCCCAGAACATTTGATCTTCTAGAGATCGTTGGCTTTTGAGCTGGCCGTGGAGGATGGGATTTCCGGAGACCTACGAGATCGACAGTGGGAACGGGTTTTACAAGCAGATTGGGAATGCGGTCGGCCTGTGGGATTTGGGGGCATGTTCACGGTTTTCACAGCGTGCCTGCTTGCACTGTGCATTGCAGATTTCTAAGCCCCCCAAGACTTACCTTGATCCTGCGATTCGGCCCCGACCCCCGATACCCTGAAGCAGCTTCCCGAAGGTGGTGCCAGAACTGATCTCACAGCTGGCTCTGGGAGTGCTGCAGACCATAATGCGCTGAGTGTGGCGGTGACGGGGAGATCCATGCCCTACCACGCCCGTCTCTCACGAAACGTCTCCATTGATCTGGGCTAGGCGGCTTGACGGCCGGTCGGACGGGCGGGAGAGAGATTCCGGTGCTTGGTCGCGGCATTTCCTGCCAGAAGTGGTTCAGGCGAACACCATCTGCTGGACATCAGAGTCGGCGGTCCCTCGCCAGCGGCCACGATGTCTAGAAGACTAGGACCGAACTCGATCACTGTACTTGCCGTGCATGAGCAGATCCCGATTCGCTCCGCGAACAGAAGTTTGCCCGGAGATCCGTGGAACTCCGATGCCAGCTATCCAGAAAAAGGCCGCTGAAGTGCACGGGGGGCCGTTATGCTTGCCCTTGCTGTGCTGTTTTGGGATATGCGTACCCAGGCGTCGACTCCGGCGCTTTCCGTGAGGTCTCGGAGACTTTGCTATTGGCAGGGGCCCTGGAAGGTGCTTGCGCACGCTTGATGCTTGCGTCTTTGACCAAGTTCACATCCGTTACAGCAGCTGCTGCTGTCGTCAGTCGTAGTGATAGTGATGAGGCTCCTGCAACTGGCTGTGGCAGTACTAGAAGACGGCTTTCGTTTTTTTGGTAGCTTGCATGCCCTCGGACCTGGAACGCTGCGTTGAGGGTGTCAGGCTCGAAGCTATTTGGCAGCGTTTGCTCAAAAGATACATCTGTCTGTCTGTCTGTCTGTCTGTCTGTGTCTGTCTGTCTGTCTGTCTGTCTGTGTTTGTCCAAGTCTCCGCCTCCGTCTCCGTCTGTCTCTCTGTCTCTCAATGCATACATACAGAAAAGTACAGATAGAGAGATGGATAGATTGTTGAATCCAGAGCGCCCAAACAGGACAAACGTGGGCAATTCACAGATGGACTCAAATCGCGATGCGGAAGCGCATGCATGAACAAAAAACCCACAATCACTCTCCCGACGATCTCTACAGATCAGTTTCTAGAGATTCTGCAGATCTCTCTGACGTCATTTCAAGCTCCCAAACCGGTAGTCGCCAACCTGGCGCACTATGTCATGGAGCTAGAGTCTAGCTAGCTAGAGTGTAGCTAGATTTGGGGAGAGTGGACCAAGGATATTTTTGGCCGCTGAAGGTGGGATTGGCTCAAAAGTTTGCAGTTTAAGGTGTGCCAATATCCATCAACACTATCTGTCGCGCGATGGCCCCGGGACGGTCGAGGTCTCGTGTCGAAAAGCGGCAGCCAGTGAAGCAGACACAGCTTTGTGCGTTCTTCTCACAGGGGAGATGTACCCGAGGGAGTCGCTGCACTTTCGCCCACGGCATCGCAGAGCTACGTCAACGTCCAGACCTCTACAAGACAAAGCTTTGCGCTTCCTACTCTCTATGGAAGCAGTGTCCCTACGGCGAAGACTGTACTCATGCCCATGGTCAAGAGGAGCTACGATCAGTTGATGAATCAGTTGGAGTCTTTTCAGACTCGGAGATGCAACGACTGGAAGACAGCAAGGAGACATTCTCTACAGCATCCGGGGTTTGCGATTCCGAGCTGTCGGTGTCCGCAGCGGTAAACCAGTTTGGCTTGCCAAACCTGCATGAAGGCCCAATGAAGTACTTCGGCTACGATGCCTCTCTAAGCAGTGATGGCGGCTTTCCAATCACGACTCCCAGTGACTACAGCCCACCCTGGGGCAGCCTCCTTCATCAGATGCAGGATGCAGACCTGCATCACATGCGTGCCTCTCCGCATTCCAACATGCAGATGCTCGAATTCTTGGCTGCCAACGGTCACCAAGAGGTCCTGAGCTTGTAGAACGCAGTCGGCATGACTTGAGCTGCTTGCAAAGACCTGCATGAACCAACAGAACACAAAAGACACAAATACAGACACATCTTCACACAGACTCAGACGGCGTGTTTCAGGAGAAGTTCATGCTGGTTTTTGCGAGCAATCCTGGTTGTCTGCTTGATGTAAGATAGAAATCGCTTCCCCCTAGTATCAAACGCTCCTCTAATATTACATGTCATTTTCCGGATGCATTCGGCCAGGGGATGCACTCAAACATTGCTCATGCAGTACCCAAGACTACTGTGCAATTGCGGCAAAGCAGGTCGGTAGGGGCCCTGAGGGGGTCGCTTCAAGGGCTGAGGGACGGGATCCGAAACCCTTCGGTTGCAAGAGGGCGCCAGGGCTTTCTCAGGACTGCACTGCTCGGGAACTGTAGGCCCTGTAGGCTGCGAGAGCCATTGAGACATAGGGCTGCAAGGAGCAAGGTAGGAACGGAGGGTGCAGGCTGCAGCAACGGGAGGAACGTAGGACTGTGGGCTTTGTGGTAAGGATCTAGCATATCTAGCACAACAGCTTTTGGTATTTGTGCGCGGAGGGGTCTTTAGTACTAGGGGGATGAGATTCGCTGGACGCTTGACTTGAGACACATGATCCCAGGCAAGCTTGTCACAGAAGCGGGTTTAGAAGCGAATCAGAATGGGTATAATTTCTCTCTGCAAAGTTCCCGATTAGTTTGGCTGCTTGCGGGGCACCCGGAGGTTGCAAGAGCCAGATTAGAAGGCGGTTGCGTTCTTGTAAGTTGATACATCTGCAGAGCTCATTTTATCCTAGTTCTGTAACTCTAACTTATGTGACTCGACTCTGCGATCTGCGGTGAAATCCACCGACAAGCAGCCGCCGCCGTGACACGCTTTCTTATCTTTCCTTGCCTCTGGGAGTGGTGGCTGACGGCAAAGAAACTTGCTTCACGAATTCCGGCGACCCATGCTGCTGCTCGATTGAAGTTTTGTGCTGCAGGTTGCTCCCGAATATGCGGCCTTGCCGCGAGCCTAGGTGCATGCAGCTCCCAGACATTAGTCTTTCAACCCGACTACTCTTTGAGATGCATGCGATGAGCCCGTTTGCCTAGGCGTGCACTCGTATTGGATTATTTCGCGAGTGGCGTCCTCGGCAGGTGCTACACCCCCTACACGCCCTCATAAAGAAGACAGCGCTTTCGGTGATAAGAATATGATGGTCGGTCACTGAAAGGTCTTTCAAGTAAGCCACAACCGATGCCACAAGCGTCACGGAGGCACGGAGGTCAGTAATTGCTTCTACAATTGCGGCGCCCTGCCTCAAAAGCCATGCAGACACAGTTGCAAGATGTTGCAAGTCTCCGGCACAAGTTATCCGGCCACACGGCTTTCCTGCAAAGGCCTGTAGAACCTTGTTGCAAGTCATGGCTCCCAAACACATGAATACGTAGGTACATCCGACAATACTCAACGGTTCCATTCAGTCCGTTCAAGATAAACCCTCCCTCCGTTCTTTGCGCAACGGTTTGTTCATCTTGACAGACTGTAGAAGTCCGACCAAACTGGCTCCGGTAGAAGGCATAAAGCACCCTGGCTGAAGCCCCGGCTGCAAGTCCTAAGTCATCGTTATCTACGAATCCTTACTAGCTAGTGTCACATTTACAGGCACCACAGAGCCCCCACAATCCACGCTGACATCGGAAATTAGTCGCGGCCAAACGTTCAAGCCGCTACAACTCTTACAAGCTCCAACATGACAAAGAACAAGTTGCGGCGTGGCGCTTCTGAGAAGTCTAGGCAGGCAAATCTCGAAGGTTGAGCCACGCCAATGGGGAAATCAGGAAAGTTGACTGCAGGGAACCTGGAGAAACAGAAGGGCCCACATGAACCGAACGGGTGGTGGTCGAAGCTTACACACTTGCTCGCAAACACCTGTTAGAGAATGTATCTACATCTATCTATACATTACATGTGTCTTCATTGCGAGTTGCAATATGTCATCTAATACTAGCGGAGGACAAACTCTTAAGCGTCGTTGTAGTAGCCGGCTGCGTGCAGATCTGATGTGATTCGAGTATTGAGCGAAACATAGAATCTGCTTTGGAATCACTCGTCAGACTCTGAGTCTTAGGCGTCCGACGTTCTGTCGCAGATGACCACATCGTCTTTGCCTTCGACAAGGATATGGCTTGCAGCGAAGGCCATGGGCTCAGACGCAGTTGCTCCCTGTGAATACCAACCCAGGTTGTCTCTACGGAAGCTGCATTTGCCACATGCATTCGGGCAGTTTCTAATTCTAGGAGTTCTAGAGTTAAAAGAAATATGAGAAATGTGGGCCCGGAGACGTGATGTGAAAGCCCAATATGACAAGTGACAACAACGTTAACATGAACAGTGCGAGAACTAATGTGAGAAGCACATGAGATATGAAATATGCACCATGAGAGCAAGAACATAAGTCTCACTGCTAAGGAAGTAGAAACAATAGTTTGAGAATAGTACAGCATAATGGCAAGATAAGCCGGACTAGGCCAGGCTTGTCCATCTGCAGGGGAATGGAGGGAGGCAGGAGGGGGTTGGGAGAGACATGATATCTTTCTATTGACAATCCAAAAAGAACGTGAAAAACGTGGAGCATATGACACAAATGTGGAACATATGAAAATATGTAGTATATGAGTCTCTCCCAATATGTGCTCTCTTCCGGACCATGCAGGCGCAAGGTCTCGCTGTCTGTTTTCCCTCGTTCGCAGAGTTGTCTTTCATTTCATGCTCCTTTCACTTGTGTTTTACCTATAGTTTTCATTTGTTCTATATTCCGCATCGCAGTTCACGGTCACTTGTGTTTCCATGGCCTGATTTGGGACGCTTCGTAATTCGGTCACATATTATGTCATACTGTTTCAACGTGTTTTGTCTAAGCCTTCGTCGCTTTTTGTGTCATTCGCATGCGCATGTCTTTCAACTAGCTGTTACAAACTCAGTTGTTCTGACGGCCAGTGGGTCAGGCTTTCGGGTCGCGGAACAGTTGATAGCTTTTTGAACGTGCTGAATCCAGAAGGCTTGCTTCCGGCATGATGCAGATGATGTAGGCAGGCCACATGATCATTTCTTGCCGAGTTTCTTTTCCTCTGCTGTAGCGCATGCCTTCATTCATCCCCCATGACTGGGACAGTCTCCGTGGCTGATCACAAACATGCAAGGTGACGTCGCCCTTGCGGAGCAGATATCCCTGTGCTTAGGTGGGAATCAGCAGTACTGCGATCAGGGCAGGGTGGGCAGTTGCTTTCGGCAAAATTCGTGCGTACCACCTCCGCTTTGCGAGTGGGTCAGGTCTTCAAAAAAGCGAGGCAGGCACACGAGCCTAAGTCGAAACCAATTTAGTTGAGGAGAGCATGAGCCATGACCTGTGGAGTACCATCACCCGGGCTTCGGGCGGTTGGGGCTCATGGGGGCGGAGGACCTCCAAGGCTGTTTCTTGTGCTCAGAGGTCTCGATGCTGCGCGGCGAGCAGCCCCGCAGCTCTGGAGCGGCGAGCGTCCGGAACTGTGCCTCGATGCAGAAGAGGTCCTGGTGGCAGCGTAATGCAGGAAACCATAGCTCTGAAGTGTGTGCCTCGGAAACGATGCCTCTAGCAAGCTCCATAGCCACAGGCACTATGCGCACTTTCGGGATCGGTAGGTAGGCACGTCAAACATGATCGGACTTCAAGGCTGGAGCTCTTCCCGGAGCTTGCTTGGTTTCGGGACACCGTGTTTCTGTGGAAGATGCCGTGCCCTGAACACGGAACGTGAGCTGTGAAGTACCTGTAGCAGCGTTAGAGTCGTCAGAGCAGAAGAGGCTTTGCCTGGTGGCCTCTGAGCAGATGTGCCGCGGTACCTCTGAGCTGAAAGGCTTCTTCTCCCTGCTTGCGAGTGTCCACCTGTCCAGAATTGGTGCCGAGCCCGAGCATTTCCCGTGCGACTGCGTGGATTTCGGGAATTTCGGCATAGGCTCCTCCTGCGTTGCCCTAGGTGAAGGCCACGTGCCAAGTTCGTGTTCGCATGATGGTTGGTTTTCGTCTTAGACCTCATGTTCTTGCTGTTCATGCGCTTCGTACCCATATCTTCACTTCAGGACAGTAAATCTGAAGGCTGTCTAACTTGTCCGAGCGTTTAGTCGAAACTTGTTTTGTTGGTAGTCCTGGTAAATCCTGCCGGGCATCCTGTACCCACAAAGGTAATCCAAGATAGCAAAGAGGACTGCAAAGAGGGACGTGCCCCGTTGCGTTGTTGGATGACCGATTAAATACGCACACTGCAAAGGAAGGCATCTGACTCGATGCTACGATGGCAGCACAAGCCGGGCCCACGGCAGAGTCTGCAGAGCGGGAGCGAGAGAGTGTGCAGAGAGAGTTATTATTTCTTCTAGAGCTCGACACGCCTTCAGCTCCTTGAGCCGCAAGTGATGATACTCCTCCTTGAACTGCCTTAACAATGAAAGTGAGGTGTTTTGGGCCGCAGGACAGGTCAGCATTGGCTCAAGCGATAGAAGACTGGACACGGCACTTCGTGATAAACGATGCCACGGCCTTAGAGTTTCGAAGCTGCCGAAGGAGCTGCGCAAGCTTATGTTCCGATTCAAGGGCATTGAGGGTTGCTGCCTCTCTGCGCACCCCATGGCTTGTTAATATTGTGTCGGAGCAGCTTTTCTTCTCCCGGCATGTTTCAGTAGAGTCCTGCTTGAGAATGGCAGGCCCCTGAAGCTCTCAGCTTTTTGAATACGTTCACCCCTGTTCCAAGCCGTGTACATAATCCGCACACGTTCGTGGGCTTTGCAAGAGAGTGCTTCGGGGTTCTGGCATTGCTGGTAAACAGAGTGAGAGCTGGCTCCTCAAGCTTTGGGGCTGACGCCGAGTCCAGGCCCAAGCAGATCACGGAAATCCGTCAGTTCTTGCAGATTGCCCGACGAAAGGATGCGCGCTCGGCTGCTCGGAAGCAAGCTCGCACGGTTAGGCCAAGTTGGCTTCGGAAGCAGGAGGCCGAAGCAGAGGCTCCTCTAATCAGACCCAGAATCCCTTTTGCTGACTTGACTAGTCTCAGGTGAAGATCAAGAAGAACGGTCTGCAGACAAAGTTCAAGATCCGCTGCAGCCGCTGCTTGCAAGAATATCCACCCCGCCCCTCAAGACTTGCACGGTCTGTGGACCCTGGAGCATTTGACTGGTCCCTGACACCAGTGGAGCGCCGCCGCAACAGCAGACTGTTGGATTCATCAGGTCTTCATGGGGTGTCCAGTCCGCGTCGCACGTGACTCAGCCTCGGTCCAAGGATACCTATACACGCTCATTATGACCGACAAGACCAAAGCAGAGAAGTTGAAGCAGTCCCTCGGCGTTCCAGAGCCTCCGCAATCATTTCTGATTTTGACAAGTTGTAGCAATTGTATACTTGCATGAGACAAGACGTTGCATGTTCGGTATGCATATACTCCGCCAGGTCATTGCCACCTTCCCTTCAGAAGAAGGAGATCTGAGGAACTGCCGGCCGGGACTTGAAGCCAGCTGATGTGAGAAAAGCTTCTGCTTCAGGATGCGCTGTGATAAGATTAGGCTGTTGAAGGTGGGTTGGTGCAAACTTGCACATCTTAAGCTCCGGCCAGAGTCACAAAGCGCTGCGCTGGCAGCAGGGCCCAGAGAGTCCAAGACATTTTCCCCCTTCTCCGAGGAAGGGCCGCTTCGAGGTGCATGGCTTTGGCAGCACCAAGCTCACGCCACAGGCCGGAACTTGGGGACGTCTGTCATGTTCCTGCCCAGAGAGATGGATGGCCTGTTGTAGATCATCTTACATCCCTTCTGAAGTTTGGTTCACCATGAGCTGAGGCTTCAGGTCGAGGTCAGGGTTCAGATCCGCTTCCAAGAGTGAGCCGACATTTTGTGGAGGCTTCTGCTGACCATCCGGGCTTCTTTCAGGGGGTCCTGCGCTGGCGGCCGTCTGAGATTGCTTGGGGCAGCAACCCATAGATTCAATCTTCGGTTTGCTGTGCTTCGGCTACACTTTGCGGAGGCCTGATGTCTGGGAACTGACATCACTCACAACCACAACCGAAAGACAAGTTTTGGAATCTCCAAATCCTCGAACGAATTCAGACTCGCAATGCTGGGCAATGCCTTCCTGATATGGCAAGGTGCACGAGTGTACGAGCCTGCCTACCTGCCTGCCTGCCTGCCTACCTGCCTACCTACCTGCCTGCCTACCTACCTACCTACCTACCTACCTACCTACCTACCTTCCTCCTAAATTTGAGAGGCAGCAAGACACACTGACTGACATTTTGATGTAGAAATAGATAGACAAAACGATCGAGAGGTCGATAGATAGATCAGATTGGAATGGAATGGACTGGCTTGGTTGGATTTGTGTTAGATTTGATTCGATTCAATAGGTAGGTAGGGAGATAGACCGGATCGATAGCGATTACATGACGATACATGCATACTTGCATACAGATCAACCATGATCACAAAAAACCATGCGACACAGAAGCGACAACAGAGCTAAACAAATGATCGAGCCAGCAAACCCAAGGTTTGGGCAGTACGAGTCCGGCAAGAAAAGCCTGAGTCGGGCCAGTGCCGCTGTGCCTCGACGAGGAAACCGGCGAGTCCGGATTTTCAGAAGTGGCTGTCGGTTTTCGTGGACACCTCCTCGCCATGTCTTGGCTTTCTGTGAGAACCATTTCAATTTAGCGTGATCCTTCCAGCCCGGCCGACTCGGGCCCAGAATCTGCCTCAGATTTAGTTGGGACACCCGTCAGAATCCAACGGCCTGCTCAGAAAGAGAGGGTAGCCCTGATCAGCTCCTGATTGTCGGCCTTCCAGGTGCTGGCTGGCTCCACCAAACCGCTTCAGAGCGAGGAGTGTGGGTACGGATAGGGTCCTAAAGGCCCCACAAAGGCCAATGTCATGTTGCCTTGTGCAGTGCTTCGTCAGCACCCGTGGGGTCTTTCGCCAGGACGACATACTCTTCCTCGAAAACGTTCCCACCTTCAATGGAGCCGCTACCCCAGTTTGGGTTGGAGTTGTGTTGCGTGCTAGCCGCTAGCAGCAACGCCAGCAAGTGTCTGTTGGCAGAGTCAGGCGGATTCCAGCGTGTTTACATCTCGCGAGACAGGGTGTTGCTCGCTACTGCAATAGCTCCACGGGCTCGACAAACGCAGCCTCTCGTCCCGGCTATTGCTCAAGCAGGAGCGGCGAACTTGGAATGTACGAACATGCCTTCAACTGCCCATGGGCCCCTCGGTCAAAACCTTTTGCCAGGGTACCTGGCAGCCTGGCCCGGGCAGACCCTGCATGCCTTGGCACGAGCTGCATAGTTCGCATCCGTGGATGCTTAGATGTGAAGCCTGCGTGCGCCGAGTGCCATGGCCGATGCTTGGGATCCCTTTGCGGACCCTGCGGACGCCCCGAAAGAGCCAGAGCCGCCTCGGCGACCTACCCTGGAGCCCAAGGAAGTTGAGGAAATCGAGGGCGAGGAGGATGTGCAGGACAGGGGCGGCAAGGGGTCTATGCCACCTTACTGAGAGGCTGTGTGGGCTCCAGGAGCTGGGGCCCGGGATCGCCATTCCGAGCCTCGCCCAGCTGGAAGAGGCCTCCTCGGGGACACCTTTAGGAAAGCAGCCAGCAAAGCGTGGCCAATGGGCGATGAGGTGCTCCAGGCCGCGAAGCTGAAACCCTGCCCCGAGCTCGTGCAGAAGTGACTCGGAGGCTTAGGAATTCGGGGCTTCGGAGTTTCTGCTTACTCAGGCTGTCGGGATGTTTGTGTCAGCCAACGGCTTGCGGGATAGAGGCATGACGAATGTGTCCAGAATTAAGTTCCACCTAAGCTTGGCTTCAGCGCCGTGCATATGTGCTTGAGTTCAGAACCGGGAACATTCGCTGGATCCACGCATCTGCGCTGGCTTCTTCTTGCCAAAACATCGCTCTTCCAATCTCTCCTAGTTGCCAGCCGAGGAGTTTCGAGGGTGATGGGGCTGCAGTTGCAAAGCTGCTGGAGGAGCCCACTGAGGGCCCGGCTTGTACTTCAAGTTTCTAGCTCTCCTGCAAGGAGGGAGATCCCAACAGCATCTGGCTGCGGGAGGAGAGGTTGAAGGGCAGTGCCTGGCCCGGGGCTGCGATAGAGATCCCCTTTCTGCTGGAGCTCTTTTTTGTTTTTGTTGTGTGTGTCTGTGTGTGTGCCCGTGTTTTTTGTTTTAACCCGACTCTCCGAGTGTCGAAAACAGTGCGGGATTCAGATCTGACGAAGGACAGGAACCCAGCCCGTAGACGATGCATGCATTGCGGCGGAATGTCAACCAAACCTCGGATGGGTTTAAGCCGTTGGACGAGGGACTACTCAAGTTGAAGTTACTTCTGGGTGGCTTGCTCCCCTTCGTCATCACTCTGTCTTGTTGGAAAGGCTGGCTCGAGTCTCCACATCCCTTGTTTTCTCTCCAGTCTTCTCGCCTCTATCGAGTGGCTTGCCCAAATATTTCAACTTCTCTGTACCTTTAGAGGCTATAAAGGCCCGTCTTGGATGTTTAGCCCCTTGCGACTGGTTGGCTTTCCTTCTTCAGAGGTTCTCTCCTGCATCTCGAATACTCTGATCCCTCAAACAGGAGCGATTTCCTCACATTTTGCACGGCTAGCGGTCGCTGCCCTGGCTCAACTTCTGGTATTTCACAACTCTCTCCTCAACTTCGCTAGAGCGATTTGCTCCGGTCCCGTCCGAGCATTTTGTTCCCTTCTCCGCAGTTGCCAGAGCTTGCAAAAAAGCTAGATCCCTTCTTGCAGTTCCTCCCTCTCAACTTCCTCAGCCCCTCTCTCAACTTTGAGCGATCTGTTCTCGCGAAAGTCCGAAGGCTTTGCTCCAATTCCTTAAGTTCTCTCGTCAGCTTGAAGCGGTTGCCGCAATGGTGTCAAGCGTTTGCGTGCGTGCCAACCTGAAGTTGTGGAGTGTTCACTTGCGGGTCGCGGAGTTTGCCCGAGATCTTGGGAGGGTCCACTTAAGGTCGGCCCTCTGATCAAACGATCTTCCTGAGCAGAGGCGACGGATGCTGCCAATGCGCCATAAGCTGGGAGGAGTATACACCCCTCATCGCCGCGTGTATGGAGAAGCCGCTGGGCGGACATCAAGATCATGTAGCTTCAACGGAAGTACCCGGCTTAGGTCTTCGTACTGAGTGAATCTGATGCCCCTGGGTGCACTCACCGGCTTTCGATCTGGAGAGTCCCTTTACTATTGTCCGAACCTGCCGTGTGGCTCATCTGCACCCTGCAAGGCATGACGAAATCTGCGAACTGCTCCTCCGACATGCAGCAACACAGCTGTGCCTTGCCTAAGCAGCTTCTCGAAGTGGCTCACGACTGTCACTCGTGGGCTCTTGGGGTGAAGAGTGGTCATTCTGCTTCAGTGGCTGCTTTTGGGCGCGGCGTCTTCTTCCATTGAAGGCTTAGGGCGCTGTGGCCCTGCTGGTAAACTTGAGGTTCATGTCACCCCGGTAAGTGCGAGTAATACAGGTCAATTGCGGATAAATTTCTGCCATAAGCTAGCGACCAGAAGCGCAACTTCTAGGCCAGTGCACCGACAGCAACTTTTTCGATCACCTTCCGCCCCTTTCCGCCCGACCAAGCATGACCAAACCCCAGGACCTGCACCCACTCAACAATGACCCTGCAGGAACGTGGTTTGCTGCGGTCTCAATGAGTTTGGCCCATACAAGCGCTTGGCTGAATTAAGGGGGCTTGTGTACGAGGATTTCTGTTCTGTTCATTTAGGTTCCCGGTTTCCCAAAGCAGTCGAATGCGGATGTGCCCAGCCTAGACTTGAAAGTGTGTCAAGCAGAAGCTCGGTCCCACAGATCCCAAAATGCCGGCTCAACCAGACAACCGTCCACGCCCACCGAGGCATTTTACTGTCATCGACATCGCACGCCAGGCAGCGGTTAATGTCGGTTCATGGTGTGAAGGCTTAACCAGTGGAGTCCCTGCTTCGAAATCTTATCCACTTGGAGCTCGAACCAAAATCATCCAAGGTGAAAAGCAAGCTTTTGCGGCGCTTGGAGGAAGCTGGTGCACTGTCTGCTGTACCAAGTTGCAAGAAGTTAAGATCGCTCGACTCGGGATTACTTTGCTTCGTGCTTGCGTGTTTCGCAGCGTGGACCGGCAGCATCGTGGAATGTTTAGACTAACGCATGCTTTGGCCGCTATCTTTCAGTGGACTGGTCTCGAGGCAGCAAGGATGGACGAGCATTGGAGTGTAGACGAAGGCTGCCATGCCGGCACCCGAGGCACAGTGTCCCGAGCCACCATGGCCCCGCAGCGAGTCAGTGCCTCGACTGCAGGGTTGGACTTGACATATTCCGAGAACTCGCGCGTGCAGGGGCTACCGAGCTCCGCGCATGGTTTGACTTTGGATCGAAATGCCGCCGAGGCTGGACCGAATGAATGCTGCCTTTCATACTCTTGCGGGTTGTGACTCGTGCACCTCAAACCACTGCAAGGAGGCCACCGAAACTTACGTCTGTTCTGTACTTGCTCACAGCTCATGAGATCATCCAAGAATTTGTGCTGTCATCACTGTCATCGGCGTCAGGAATCAAGCTTTCGTAGCTGTCGAGAGGTCTTTCATGAGGCTGGGTTTTGCAATCGTCGACCTCCGTTGCCGACCGACCGAAGTTTGAGCCGGGATTGTGCTGAACTGACGAGGGGCAAATGAACGATTTTGCCATGCATTAAGGAGCGGGAGGAGGCGGCAGTAGTGGCAGTCGAGGCCGGATGGGATTACTGGATGGGATTACTGCAGCGGTTCAATGTCGGAATCTTCTAGCGTTGCCCTATGTGGCTGCCCTTAACCAAATGGGTGGCAGACGCAGGTTGTGGTGAACCCCTTGCTGAGGCCAAACTAGAAGTTCTCTCAGGTCCATCGCACGCTAGATCTTTCTCGTCCTCCTGAACTTACGACCTGCCCGGCATGATCCGGCAATCCCACCTGCAGGTTCCGGCTCCTTTGCTGCAACCTTCTGCAGCCGCAGCCGCCACAAAGCGACTCGTCAGTGCGATGCAAGGGCAAAGGCCGGATGGTTGCTGCAATCAGTAAGCCATTCTGTTGGCACTGCCACTATCCAACCTCAATTTGAGGCTGCTCAACCTGCCCCCTGCAGGTCCTACTCCGTTGAAGCACGGACCAAGGCCTTCAAGCAGTTCATGCTGGAGCACTTCGCCATACTTTGGCATGACTGCTTTTGGGATCGGGGCCTGATCAGGGGCCTGTGCAAATCTCAACTGTTTTTTTCTTTGTGCGTGCGCTTCGCAGGCTGGCAGAGACAGATTGCAAGAGTATGCAAGATCGAAGGTGCAGGTCCATCGACTTGGTGCTTAGACAACAACGCACGTAATTAAGTGGGCCGCAGCAGTGCGATATACTTTGTACTTTCCAGCCAGCTTTGCTGAGGTGGCATCCGGACAAGAGGCCGCCAGCAGAGCGTGTGACAGCCACCGCAGTGTCCCAGACAGAATTTGGATGCCAACATGCTACACTTTCCCTGCTTCGGAGGTATCCTGAGCATTCTCGGATAAACTTGATAAGGATTTCGATAGCCATACTTTCAATTGTCCGGCAGGTGTTTCAAAAGGGACACATCACCTCACCAACCTCAGTGATTAAGCGCGAGTGCGGAGCTAGACCTTTCCTAACGTGACAACACGTGTGTAGCGAAAGCTTGCATACATGTGCCTGTATGTGCAGGCACACGGTATATGTGGACATCTGGGGCGATTTTGTACATCTCTCTCTCTCGCTCTCTCCCCTCCTCTATCTGCTCGTAGCTAGCTACGTAGCTATCTATCTGTACAACAAGCACGATTGTGTAGACATAGAGGTGCACGCGCACATAGCCACGCCTGTATTCGTGCGCGCATACGCCACGTACATGCATACATTAGGTGTGCTTGTGTGTGTGTGTGTATGAGCAAAACCTATAGATATCAGTTTGCTCCAGGTATGTAAGTGCATACAGTGTCTGCGGACCTTGCCTGGATCGTCCGAGTGTGAGTGTCGCAAAAATTTTGATGGTGGATTCCTATCCAGATTGATACGAGGAGGCATGGCCTGGGCCCTTGACCCCCGTGACTTGTTGACCTTAAGAGGAGCGCGAAGCAATGGAGTTAGTCAGGACCTGGCTGCTGTAGGATCCTATCGTCGGTTTTTGGTGCTTGACTAGTTATTATGTCGGGTAGGTCAGATATGTCAGTCAGGTCGTGTGCAGTGGAGACTGATCGCTGATCAGTACGCATATGGAGCAATGCTCCGAGAGTACTCTCGGGCTTGGGTCTTGGGGTGTTTATGGTTTAGATGGTTCCGGCGTGTATTCTGCTGCCCTGAGACCCTGTCCAGCCTGACGGACTCATGTGGAGCCCTGCCTGCCTTGTGCGGGAGTGAAACACCCGCCTCTCCAGCCGCTCCAAGAAGGGAGCTGGCTATGGCCTTCAACTACGCCCCCGGTCCTCCTCAAAAGGAAACGGGACAAGCCAGACTTCAGGGACAGTCCCGGCCCTCAGCTGGCAGGGACAAAGGTGGGGGACGGTACTTGCTTCGCTCCAACGCGGAGGCGTCCTTCCGCGGTGATGCTCCTGAAGACTTCCATGTTGTTGTTTCTCGGCAGCCAAACCGGAAAAGGCTGACTTTGGCGCAACGCCTGATGGGGACCCAAATGGATATTTAGCGGTGCCTTATCCGGCAGACAGTGTTTGAGAGTCTCAGTGTCAAGAAGCTGCATGAGAGTAGAGCGATATCCTTGGAGCGGCATGTGGTGCACTGCTTGATGCAAAGCCACGGACTACCTGGACACTGAACTCACTCGCTCACTCACTCACTCACTCACTCACTCACTCACTCACTCACTCACTCACCCACACACACACACAGACAGACAACGACATATGGATACATGCACGTAACTCCTGTGCAGGCATGCCGATAACACCAGTCCGACTGAGGTGTGCCAATGGCTGCTCGGCCCGGCTCGATCCTTCCTGGCTGGCTGAGGTTCCAGGGTTGCGGTGGAAGCCGTGCCAACAGGGCCCTAGTCGTGCCGCCAGGGAATTTGGATACCGGGTGTCATATTCAGGTTTTCAACATGGCTGTCGGAAAGATGTAATTCTTGTATTTTCATGTATTGATTGGCGTTGTTGGGGGATAGGGTTGGCTTCTTCGGGCTTTCACGATTTTGTTGATGTTGAGCATGCTGTCCGCTACACGTACACGGATTAGGTTTAGGTTTAAGTTAGGTAGGGCCGAAATACTGGAAGCTGCGCAGCCTGCCTGCAATGGCTTGGTGTGTGTGTGTGTGTGTGTGTGTGGGTGCGTGTGTGCGTGTGTGTGTGTGTGTAGAGAGAGAGAGAGAGAGAGACAGAGAAAAAGAGGTGTGTTTGTTGGGTTTTTGAGATAGAAACTTTCCTCAGCTGGCCACCATGTGATGCCATTTCAGGAGAAATTCGAATGTGCACCGGGCCCAGCTTTATTATCATACACCTTACTTAGATGCAATGTGTTATTCCGTGAATGCCTTATCGTTGCGGCTCTGAGGCATTGTCACAATCAGGGGACCCAAACCAACAACTGCCGCTCTTTCGTACACTTGTATTTCCGTTCATCCATATCTATTTCAAACCTCAATGGCTCCTTTTTTGTGGCAGTTCAGTGGAGGTTTCACGTTCCCCCACAAGGTCCTTACACAGGGTGGGCCAGTCGGCTCGGGGGCCCTAACTCGTCCCCTAGGCCTCAGGGAACAGAACAGAACAGAAGTAACCGAGAGCAGGAGTGGTGGTGGTGGTAGTATCAGCAATTATTAGTAGCAGTAGCAGTAGCAGTAGCAGTAGCAGTAGCAGTAGCAGTAGGAGTAGGAGTAGTAGTAGTAGTAGCAGTAGTAGTAGTAGTATACTGGGTGTAATTGTAGTTTTCGTGGTCAACCTAACAGGTGGCATGGCAGCAGCAGCTGCGGCTGCTGCGCAAAGTGGCGGAAGCTTCTGATCGACAAGGGTTAGTTTAGTCGTCCGGAAATCTGAGCAGCAAAAGTTGGAGCCCTGTACAACTCTTGAGTCGGCGAGGCCTGGTCCAAGCGGCCTCGGCTTCTGATGTAAGAGGAGGAATGTTTCGATTCACGGTCGGCGAGAAGCTCGTGTTGCCCTGCAGAAGCCTCGGAGACTTGGGCAAGACATGACCTCGAAAAAGGGAGAGGCCACATGCACTGCACAAGCCAACAAACTTAGTACCTGCGGAACTTGCGTCCGGCTAAATGTCCTTGCTGGGCCTGCGGTATCCCGAACCGAAACTGCTGCTTCGTTCGCGGCAAGGCACCAAGCCCCACATGCCAACCAAAGCAAGTCTTAACACGGTTTGCCCAACAAAAGCCGACCCAGGCCTTGGGTGCTCGGGACAGCGAGCTACTTCTGACATACCTCACAGCGTCGCTCGGACTTGCAAGCTGCCCGGGATGTTGTTGGTTTTACTTGGGGCCGGCCTTGTGCCTCTGCTGTACCGAGGTTTCTGGAAGTGTGATGCAGGGCTGGTTCGCAGCAGCCGTAAATCTGGAGAGAGATTCCTGAAACGAGATCGCATCCTGCCCCCGAACACGGCCGGAGCATTGCGTTTCGAGTCAGGCCATACCTGAGAATACCTCTGCTCCTGACCTTCTTCACGGATCGTGCAGCACCCAGGGCTTCATGTGCGAGACTCTGTCCGTTACTGTCAGGTAAAAGTATGTCAACGTCAGATGGATTAGTTGAGGGACGTGGAGCATGTCGAAATTTAAGGGACTTCAAGGGTGTAGATTCGGCGTAGATGCTCTACACCATCGTGAACTCATGATCGCTTTGCTTTTGCCACTGCCATTGCTCGAAGTCGGAGCAGTGTCCCAACCCAGGGCACCGAGTGTCCGCTCTCCGCGAACCACAGCTTCAGGTGGCGTGGCAGTTAGGGCAGACTGACTTACTTCGATGTTACTTGCTTGTGCATTGACCAGCATCGGTGACATCCATTCGAATGTCCCCATGTGCTCGTAGCACCATGCCTTGCTGTCGCAGCAGGACTAATAGAACTAGGCACAGTGTCAGAAGTATTCAGAAACCTCCAGTTCGTACGAGACAGCGACTGCACACAGGTAGTCCTTGATGCAGCTCTCTTTGAGTGCGGGCCTCGCAGGGTGCATGAATTCTTCTGTTAGCTGGGTCTTTGCGTCCTTGCCTATTGCCTATGTGGGTGTATACAACCCAGTAAGGTTCAAGTGCATTGAACTGTGAACTCGTTTCTTGTCTGGAAACTCGCACCAATCGACGGCATGCGTACTCTTGAATTTTTGCCAACAGCAGGTCACACAGTCCTGCAGCATGTCTTGCCCGCGTAGATGCAATCATGGCGTGGCTTTGCATTGCCGGTCTACAGGCAGCCAGACAGGTCTTCAGACTAATGTGGCCTTTGTCGCAACGGGCAGAATTGTTCGGGATCAGTTTTCGATTCGTTTTGTTTTTGTTGGGTTCGAAGGTGTGTAAGCTTTATGAAGAGACCCTCTCTTGCCCCCGATTATGGGATCCGATGCCAGCTTCATAGAATGGTGGTTGTTTCTAATTTCAGGTCCAGGGGCCGGGTATCTCTGATGCCGGCTCTTGGCTCGCCGATCCCCCCCCCCCCCCCCCCGCCCGCACAGAGCTGCTTCGACCCCCACGCCCATTCCCCCAGGCCAGCGGGCGGGCTTTGACGGAATATGCTGTGGAACACTGCGTCTGGAGGGAGGTTCGTAAAGGCTTGGGGGCATGTCTTCTCAGTTTTTGCTTGGAAAAATGTGGACGAGGGCTGTTGGCATGCTCGCTGCAAAACGGGATGCTGAAGCTTTGGATGCTTGAAGGAAAATGGTTGGCTGGTGGAAGATGCGACCATGGGATCTGAAAAGTTGGGAAAGTGGAAAACATGGATGGTATGTTCTTGCATAAATATTTTGCGGGTTGGAGGGTGTGTGTGAGATGAAGCGGGCTTTCGGACAAAGTGGTTGGGACAAATGACGGCAGTGATCCTTCTGTATCTTGGGTTTCGGTTCCAGGTGTCAGTGTGGATTGTCGCACGGATCGCTGCAGGTTGGGTGCAATCAGTAGTGATGACCTATGATCGATAATGGTTAGATTGCCGATAGCCCTTCACTTCAGAGCAGCTGGAAGAAGACCCGAGGCACGCTTGCTTGAAGTCCGCCTCAAACTTTCGAAACAAGGCCGGCAGCCACCACCGCGCAATTTCCTGAATTCCAAGCCTCCCTTCCAAACGCATCGTGCGAGAGGGAAAGAACTCATCTGAGGCCAGGGCCCTGGCTCTGCAGCGCGGCGGAGATTCCGGAAAAGGCCCCCAAAGATGTTTTTGGATTTGAGCGGAGTTGAGGTAATTGAAGATGTCTCGTGTGAGTATGGTTTGCTTTCTGTGCCGCTTCCCAGCTGATTGGCAGAGTCTGGGTAAAAAAAGCAGCTAGAGGGACCAAACTCATTGCTTTTTGCGGCTTCATGTGCGATGCTTCGGGAAGGAGACGGCGGGGAAACCTTTTTAGCATTCGTGACAACAGCCGGGCGAGACATCGTTCGGAGAAAGCAGGGTGACTGTGCAGAAGACTGGCGAGCTCTCGACTTGAAGCCCATCAGCCGTTCGAAGCTCTGGTGCTCTTGTATGAAACATGTATGGTTGAACAATCCTGAGACCCCTAGAGTCTAGAGTCGACCAGGAACGCTGAGTCAGCATCAGCATCAGCACTTTCGCAAAGGGTCTTCTCACAGAGCGGCGCCCTTCAACGTCTATGCACGTATGAGGGATGACAGTCGAACAGGTGCCTGCTAGCGATCGCCGGCCTGCGACTTAAGGGCGTACAGAGTGTCGACGCGTTAGACCTCTTGGACTATGTGGCGGAGCAGCCGCTTACATGACAATCCCAGGCACTTGGCGACACCGACCGGGCTTTTCTTCAACGAACTCATGAGGCCCGCGCGCAGGAGACTCTACATGTGGTAGCTGCCGAGCCCATTGGGCAGACTGAGTTGGGTGATGGCGGTCAGAGACTGCGAGCCTCCGACCCACTTAGGTCTCCGAAGCCACTGCTGGAGGCAGTGCTGTGCTTGACCTGGCCTCAGTCCCTGTTTCAGTTGTGGGCAGGGATAAATGCACCTGACGTTCTAGTACCCATATATGAGTATGGGAAAGGCGAGCCCAAGAAAAAGTACGCCGAAGCAGTCTTCGCAGCGAACAATCGATTAAGGAGGGTTGGTGAAAATGGCAGCAGAACTTGGCAGAAAGTCCAAAGCTACTCTGATCAAGCCTGCTCCGTTCGTTGTTTGGCAGGACCCCGATATAAATTGAGTCCAAAGACATCTTATCAACGCCATCGTGAGTATTCAGGCTCCGGGTGGCAGTGGAGAAGGACGTGGGCCGGCCTGACTCTGCAAACGAAGGCCCACGATGCTCCGGCAGAGGATGCAGGATGCAGTCAGAGGCGTTTGCAGGCTGGAAGCAAAAGTCCAAGAAGAGTTTGAATCCGCGCTTCCTCTTCGAAATGCGGACCTGGCAGTCAATGTGTGTTGCCTGCCCGCCCCTGCGAAACATCGCGTTCCCAATTCGCCTACAAACACTGGTCCCAGAATTCCCTTCTCTGATGGGGGGTGGAAGCCATCCCAATCGTGAGACAGCAGCCCAACTGCTGAGAGAAATCGTTGCAACACCCCCGAAGAGTGCTGAAAAACATCTTATTGTCATGTGCAGGAGGGTTCCCATCAGGAGTCAAGCATTCCAGCCACTTCGTTACACTTCGAATAACAAGCCCCCTCTTACGAAGCCATCTGTCCGGAACCCGTGCGCTGGGAGAGAGGCCTGATCCTTTACATCGTGCGGCTGGCCGTCCGCGTCGAGTCGTACCTTGCCTTCGTGATCATGCACGGCCACCGCCTCGTCTTGTGGTCAGGGGTGTGTCGCAGGCTCAAATCGTCATTTCTATGCCGGCAGAGCATGGGGATCTTGGTGGAAGTCTCCGCACGACAACGCATGGGTCAACTTGAGGCCGACGAGGTGCATATCTCGAGCGCTCCGGTGCAAGCTACGAGGCCTCCGTGCCAGGACCCCGGCGGTTCAAGTGCAAGCACAACAGAGTCAAGGTGTCGCAATGACTAATTAAACCGTTCGGAAGTCTGTCTCGAAAGTATTTCCGGCGCAAGGCCGAGCAAATCCCAAGGGCCGTGACTCTGCAATCGGGCACAGCAGGTTCAGGAAGTCACGCATTCATGTATCTGACGGCCCACCTGTGTCTGCAGCGCCTTCCAGGCGAAGCCTGGCAGGGCCCAAGGACTTCGCGTGGTTTTCCGTGTCCAACTCCCGTCTTTTCCAGGAAAGTCCTGAAGGTGGGCTGGCTTGCTGTATAGCCCCGAAGGGTTCTTGGCTGCAGACCTGTTAGACGAGGATCGACTCCCTAGCACGGATGGCCCGGATCAAAGCAGCCCCTCAGCAGTTAAAGATGGGTTTCGGGAGCAAAGCGCAAGGACTCGGAGCTGCTCAACGAGCTCGAGGTTCGGGCAGAAGTGCTGAGTTGAAGGCTGACGGCTGAAGTGCTTAAATTTTCTGCCCAACAGCTAGAATCCTGCTGGTGCTGCTGACTGCACTTTGGCAAACAATGGCATTCCGGTGATAACCAGCAGCAGGCTGCACACGTGCAGCTGCGGCGCGAACTGCAGGGGGATGCCGGCCGCACAGAGACATGAAGACGGGTCGGGGATCGGAGCCATGAAGCGCATGCAAGCCATCAAGTGCTGGAGCATGTCGAGTAAACGTCGCTTCCCTGCCATTCCGCGAGCCCGAAGCCGTGGTACTGCGCCCAGCGGCGGACTTGGTAATGTCAGAAGCAATTGTCTAGCACAGCAGGTACAACCTTTGCATGTCATGTCATGGCCGACTTCGGGGCAGCCGTATCAAAGGTCTTGAAGATGCTCAGCGATTGGCTGCGATATGCCTCGAAGAGGCCAGGGGAAGCGTGTTAGCTTGTTAGCTTGGTCGTGCCTGGGACAACGAAACAGCTTTGCAACAGCTGCCGTGCATTGTATACATGCGTTGGGTATCATTCCGACCGTCGACCCAAGGAAGCAGGTTCAAACGCTCGCTATGCGCCTCCATCGGGGTTGGGGCTCAAACGCAGTGGGCATTAGGACTTGCATGTCGCCTGTCTTGTCAGGGCAGATACCCTGCTTCCTGCTGCTTGCCGGGCTCACGCGCATCTTGCTTTGATCTTCAAGAATGCCTGGAGCTCAGCCTGGGAAGGAAAGGTGTTGGAGGGCTGAAGCCGGTTTAACTGCGTGCCAAGCATGAGGGACTCACGGCATTGCATGTCGTGTTTCACAGAGCGATCGACATCGCTTATGCATCAACTCGACTCTCACCGGGCAAGACATGCAAGTGACCGACGACCGAGAGTGAGCAAATCCCGCCAACTCGGCGAGGTTCCTCCGCATCAGCTCACTGCCCGCGATGCCACCATCCTCCTTTCAGCGCAGGCGTCGCTTGCGGCTGCTTGCGGAAGAAGCATATAAAGACATGACTCATGACACGGCCGAATTCTTCCAATCGGATTGAGGCCCCTCTCCTGTCCAACCGGGCCCATCTAGCCCACCTAGTGGCTATTGGGGCCGAGTCGCTTCAGCCCAGCCAGGCCTTCTTGAACATCAACCACCGCTGGCTGGAAGATCTTGGCCTGGATAGCGCATCAGGACCAAGGCTTAAGGAATGGACGGAGCCTTGGATGACGGGGTTTTGAGGCTCGGAAGGCTCTAGACCTTCAAGTCTTTGGGCAAGAAGAGTTTTAGTTCCCACTTGGACCCAGCCTCGGAATTTGGGGAGAGTCGTGGGCAGGACAGGCATCGGCGACATCCAGCCTGGGAGTCGGTGAGGCCGGAAAAGCTCCCCAGAAGACATTCGAAGCGAGTTCGGAACAGGACAAGGGAACAGGACACGATCTGAAGTAAAGGCAGTCACAGGTCCAGGGAAAGATGGCAGGGCTTCAAGACGTTTTGGAACTCTTTGATGTAAAAAGGGGCGGTCAGACATCATCACGCGAGCTTGGACTGCTCGGGCTAGGAGACATCCTTTGTACACATATCTCATCTTGACTTCAGTGGCTCCATAACCATCAGGTTGCGAGCGCAAGTCACTTTTACGGGACTTATATTTGTTGATAGATGCTGCCACGGGTCTTTCAATCATGGTTGCTATCCGTCGCAGTGTGACGTACCAGATGCAAACCGTCGAACATCCACGCCTGCCTGGATGCCTTCTGATTGCTAGCGGAGGGAGTCAATATCAAAACATGTACAATGTACAGCAGAACAACGGACATCGTGCCCAACCTGGGGGACAAAATCGCCTTGGCATGCGTTGGGGAAACATGGGGAAGCGCTGCTTCTGAGAGACGCGGGTAGGCTGCAACAGACACATGAAATCATGCTTGGTGGCCTATGGGTAGGCACGTCCAGCTCAAGCACCTCGACCCATGTGGATGCTGCCCAACTCGTCGTGAGCTTCAGGTGCCCAACTCTAACTTTCGAGCATAGCCGCAAAATTGGAAGGAAGGCTCAAGCCAAGCCGAATTTCACAGCCAGACATCGAGCAATGCGACACGGAATTCGACATCGATGTTTGAGGATGTCCTTCGCATAGCGATTGCCATATTCATCGTTGAGATTCGCTTGTCGGGTGCCGCGAGGCACCGACATAACGTCATTGGTAAAATCAAGTCCGTCACAGGCGTTGTGTGCTGTGTTCCGTTATAAGTGGGTCGGCATGCTCCACTCCGAGCTGCTGAAACCGACAGAGCGCGATTGTTGGTGCCTCGGGCTTCTGCAAGGTTTTCTAAGTGAAGGTTCCAACCCGGCAGGTTGAACTCTACGATGCCTTCGAAGTGTGGCGGAGCCGCCGGGAGCTTTAGCGACGGACGGCTGAGACACACGGGTACGGGTGATGCGCTTGCTACAGGTCCTTCAGTTTGCACCGGCCTGTTCAATCTTTGCCACGGGGCTAGGCTTCGCTTTGTGACTGTCATGAGGTGGTGGTTATTGGGCAGCAGTAGCAGGTTCATCAAACACCACTCAGCAGCGCAAGGCTTAGCTGCATGGCTGCGGGCCGCACACTCAGTGGCAAAGTGTGCGGACGCCTGCAGGAACGAATTAATTTCGGAATAAGAATGTTGCTGTGGTGGCGGTGGTTGTGGTTGTGGTTGTGGTTGCTGTTGCAGTTGCTGCTGTTGTCGCTGTCGCTGTCGTTGTCGTTGTTGGTTGTGGTTGTGGTTGTGGTGGTGGTTGTGGTGGTGGTTGTGGTTGT